TAAAACTTAGGAATAGTAACGGTTAAGTATTTTTCTGCATTACCTTTTACTTAAATAAATGAAGGAAACAAAAAAAGATCAAATAGGTTGTCTCCAAATGATCCAAGACACTAGGCTTTCTGCATTCCAGTTTCCTTTTTCAGAATTAGGGAAAAGACAAAACCCAAAAGTGGAACAGCATGCTTTACACTATATATTTACATATATATATATATACACACACACACACATGCTTTATTCTATATAATTTATAGAAAATTTGAATACTATACATTTCAATTGCATACAATTATCCTTCTTCAACAACTCTTACATTTTAGTTTTTATAGGGAAGATGCTAAATATCAGTAAATCCCAAGTCCTTTAAAAAGCAGTTATAATTCTGGCCAAGAAAAAGGCCTGAGACTAAGGAGGCCATTAAAAGAGCCAACTTTACATTTTGCAAGTATCTGGTCAGAAGCACATGTTTATTTGAATATATAAAGGTATTAAAAATGATTGCTGAGATTTTAAAGTATCAACAGAAATCACGTAACTGCAGACCTCAAGAGAAATACCCTCCATGAAATTAATCCTTGTTGCAAGTAGATCCTGACCTATCAAGGGCCAGAAACAAACAAAACCAATCCTCAGAACAAAACTTAGCCAAAACCCATGCCCAAATGAGTAATTCACCCTTAGAAATGCTTTCTCAGTCTTTTGCCAGACACTATTTTTTTTGTGCGAGTTTTTAAGCATTTATAATACTGGACTTGGAAGCATCTTTGCTAGCTTAGGGAAGAATAAATTAAGTCCTCTTATTTGTAGGACATTTCAGTTTTCTATTTCCTCTTTTAATACTTTGCCTGCCAAGAAGGCTCAGGTTTATTACATGTATGTTTATCTTCAAATAGTTTAAGGTAATAAAGCTGGTTATCTAGTCCCTCTTAAATTTTATGTTGAAGCACGAAAAATTGTTTTCTTCCATCTTCTAAAATTAAGAACTATAGCCTTTGCAATGGAAGAGTGAAGTTCCTCAAGGGGAAAAATAGTTAGCAAGGCTCATCTAATTGCCTTGGGGTCAGAAGGAGCTCCTATTTTAGTCACATTCATTTTTTTCCACTGATGGTAGAATAGCATAAAAACAAAATGCTATTTAGGACAATCCAAAGGGAAAGTACATCTTAATATACCCTGGAATGGCAAATTTGGCCACAGGCAGGTGGTTGTTTTTTTTTTTTTGGGTTTAAGTAATTTAAAATCAAAAATTATTCTATTTTCAAGAGATAATACATAAGTTATTTGGGGTTCAGAAATGTGGCACCTCCCCCTAATTTCTCAATCCCTAACAGAACTACCATCTTGCTAAAAAAAAACAAAAAAACAACAAAACCAAACAGCACTCAGAAGATCACTCTGTAGTCACAAAGAACAGTGTCCTTCAGATTTCTCCTTCAATCTCCAGTTATTCTGGGTCTTATTATAAGCTTTAGTTCCAGAACTATATGAGGAGCTTTATGGAACAACCCTTTCTGATATTAAATTATTGATCTTCCAAAATTAAATGAGAACCAGTCATTAGCATGGGTCCTGATCTTCTAAATACTTAAGCATCTCAACTTCAACTTGAGCTCAAAAAAGGAACATAAATGCAAATATTCACAGGATATCAGAGTATGGTCTTTAAATTTTATGGGCTTAAGTCCCTATTATGCTTCAACAGCAATGCTGCAAACTGCATTTCAATAAATATCAGACTCTGGGGGGTGTTAGCTCATGCAAATCAGTAATGGTATTTTCACAGTTTGAAAATAACTGTTAAAGGCAAGTAGAACAATGTGATGAGTTATACTAAAAATTGTTACTTAATCCTAGAAAATACTTGGGACTTAAGTCAACTTCTTTTCAAAGAAATCCTAGTTTCTTATTGACACTAAATTAAATTATTCAGTACATTTTGTAGGACTTAAGTAATCACTTACAAACTAGAAAGCAACCTGTATCCACACACAAAAATTACCTAATTTTCCATTGTCCATCTTAGACTACTGTTACTGAAATGATCAGCTGTTTCCTAATTATGCCTATAAGTTTTGGTGTACAAGAAAAGTTACTTAAAATACATGATCAAAAAAATTCAGTAAACGTCTTCATGTTTTTCCTCATGGAAGACCACACAGCTCATTGCTCCAAATCTTATAAGCTTTTCACTAAAGATATATTTTCAGTGCCCAATGCTATAAAATCACAATGTGTATATGACTATTCATGCAGGACCTCCTTAAATTTAAATGAAACCACAGTCAGAGAAGAACTGTTAAATTATCTGTTGGTTTCATAGATGGTAACTGGTTTCTCTTTTTCCTACAAGTTTATCACTGCAACCCTCTTCAAGGCATTTTTTTGTTTTGTTTTTCTTAAGTATACATTTGTAGAACATCACTCAAGGCAGAATCCCTTCTGTACTACCATAGGATTTGCTTGTCTCCAGCAGAAAACAAGCTCAGTCAGTTTGCTGTTAATTTTAAGAACATTCTTGTTGCTTCACTGTGAAAATTCTAAACACGGAACTGTTCTTTTTGCTCCATGTTCGTTCCCTTTCCCATGAGCTACATTTTTACCTGTATTAGGATTCTGAATCAAATGCTTTTGTTTAATTAACTTGAATATTGTACTAGGAACCAGGTATAAAAACCAAAATAACAAAATAATCAGAAAATTTATTCCCCCCCCCTACCCCCACACTTCCTGTTTGCTCCTACACCCCCTCATGAGTTTCAACTCCAGCTGACTTCTGGCCTTATAATTCCATTCCAGCATACTCAGGCTGTATTTTTCTGTATTTTTCTTTGGTAGCTAATAAATACCCACTCTGACCTTCTCTGTACTTCTTTTGTGTTGTAAGGGCCCAGAACTCCCTCTTAACTGTTTGTACTTATGGCAGGTCTCTGATATCACAGAGTTGTTCATCCAGACTATTGTGAAGAAAGAGCTGCATATGAAAGACCTTTAAGAAGCCACCTCCAAAAGGGCTCACCTCACATCACTCAGGAGCTCCTTTTAAGCTGAGGCTTTTAAGCAGCTCTCAGCCTGAGCTAGACTGCAGCCATGCCTGTGCCTGGGCACATACCCTAATTGATGCACACTCTGACACAGACTTTCCACAATGGCTTGACCTTGGACCTGCCTTGTCACCATAGACTTGCCTGCTGTCATGGGACAGCTGCTGAGCCTGGTTACTGTTACCACACATGCTCTGCTGTCCTTTTTCAGGTACTGTAGGACCGCTTCCATGGTGCTGGCACAGCTCCTGTGCCTGTCTTGACCCAGCTAGCGTTACCTCACTTTCTCCTTGCTGTTCCCTGACACATCTGAGCTCAGTCAAGCATTCTGCCACAATTGCTTAGTTTTCTGCATATCAAAATGAGCCATTCTTGTGCTTTGTAGAAGGTAATTCTTGAAGATCAACCAGCTCACCAGAGTTCCTTTGTAATTCAGACAAGTGCTCCATCTGATGCTACCAAGCAGAACCCTGAACAAGACAAGTATCTGGTCTTCCATAGTACAGGGTTGTTGTGGTTTAAACCCTAGCCAGACAGCTTGTTCACTCACTTCCAGTGAGTGGTGCCGGGCTGACAGCAATTGAGGCCTCCCCCCCCCGGAGCTCTCCCCTTCCCTGCTCCCAGAGGAACGGGGAGGAGGATCGAAAGAGTGCAACTCCTACAGGTTGAGACAAGAACAGTCCAGCAACCAATGTACAACACAAATCACTACCACTACCACCAACAACAACGATAAGAGAAAATAACAAGGGAAGAGAATACAATACCACCAGCCAAGAAACGAGTCCCACCTGGAAGCCCGTGTCCTTCCAGGTAACTCCCAGTTAACCCCCACCCCGGGCATGACTTGCTGCGGTATGGAATACCTCTTTGGCTACCCTGGGTCAGGCGCCCCGTCTCTGCTTCCTCACGGCTTCCCCTCCTCCCTGGCAGAGCATGAGCCTCACAAAGTCCTTGGTCAGGGTAAACATCACTTAGCGACAACCGAAAACATCGGTACCACCAGCACTGTTCCCAGGCTGGAAGTCAAAGCACAACAGCGCACCAGCTACCGCGAAGGAGAAAAACCGAGGACAAGGGTTCTAATCCCACCACTTATTTTGCTCACTTCTTTCAGGACTTTAGTCTCCTGTCCTGGGCCACATTTGCAATCCTTGTTTGTTTGTGAGGTTTAGCTGAGCACCTGCTGTAAAGAAAGCTCTTTGTACTCTCAGGAAAAACACCTTTTTATTTCAAGCCAGTTTAACGACCTCTTTCAGTATTGGCAAAATTTGGGTTTAGATGAACTGCAACACAAAGCAACTCACACTTCTATATATACTTGGTGCACAGAGCCTTTCACCCACAAGTAATAACACAGCTACCTCATTTTGCAACTCCTCCATCTTTTGGCATAGCATCCACATTTTACAACCCATTTGAAAAAGGACTTTTACTTATCTGTCAAAATACTCATGTACCACTTTGATTGCATAAACAGACATAAAATAATGCTCTTCAGCAGGGTACATACCCTAACAGAACATAGTGCCTGAACTGATGTTTGACTTCTCTTGGGTTTATGCTCCCCATGGGCCTTCTGCTGCCACATGAGGGCAAGACAAAGCACTGTATCACATATTCCCACTAATGTTTAGGAGTATCTCTAATAGCAGAGTTCTACTAGTATGAGTAATTTTCTCACTATTCCACAGACATTTCACCAGAGACAGTTACAGGTTATACTGAAGTTTTATATTAGCTGCTGCTGAACGCTGCATTCATGCATATACACTGTTTCTTGCCTTTCACAGGACTTAAGCACTGACCTCAAGTATTTTAGGTATTAAGTACCACTAGAGCTTGTATTCAAGTTTTTCTGTGGTATCAATAGATTAAAAAAGTAGATACTACACTGTTCTCATGACAAGTAATTATATTTAAAAGTGTATTATCAGAAAAAAGACTATGTAGTCTCACCTTGAACTGATTTGCAGGATGTATCAGTTGATGTGCTAGCATCTGCTGAAGTCTGAACATTGGATTCTGAGCCCAGATTTCCAAGAACAACCTCCTCTTTTCCACTCAAAGTATGCACAAGAGAAGATGATGAAGTTTCAGCATAGAGTCTTTTCAGTACTTTACCTATGAACACTGTGGGGTAAGAAAAAAATATTTTAAACAGAAAGAAATGCAGTGTTTTAAAAATAACTGGAGACAAAAAAAACCCAAGTAATTGATACAAGATAGTTTCCCTCCTATTTCATGCAAGTCTGTCTTCAGTAGTCCATACCTCTCACAGGCAGAACTGAAAATAGTACATTAAGAGTCCTAAACTTCAGTCAGAAAAGCAGCTTCAAAACCCCAGAGTTCACTAGCAAGGTTACATTTAAAGTCTTCTATTTGAATACGTTTTGGCAATAAATTTATGCAGTACATTTACAGACTAAACATACATATTAATTTCTTAAATTTCTTTTAAAACCTTCCTACACAAGTGTTATAAGGCTGCTCAAAATGCAGGTCTCTTCTGGCACAGAGGCACTGCAACTGAATCACTCGTTAAAATCAGTAAACTACAACTTTTCAATCACATGGAAAAACTAGAAGTAGACAGGAGCAGAAACACATGGTAACCCAATTATTTCTACAGAATTAGCAGTATTCTTATACGCCTCTTCCTCTTATGGGCCCCTTTCTGACGACACTGGCAATCTGCTACTAGTTACTCAATGCAAGCATCACTTGATTAAAGAAAACTAATACATGCAAATAATATAAAGACGATAGTTTTGTTGATGAGTATATGTATGCATGCACATCTCAAACACTTGAAGTTACATATAAGAAAATATCAAGTAATACTAAGAAAGTTTTTATCTATTGCAAACATCCCCAGTTTCATGAATTCTAATCAGTCAAGCAGATATTGTGGGACGGGAGGAGGAGGGTTAGAAAAAAGAAAAAAAAAAGAAAAAAAAAGAAGAGAGAATTGAAGAAAAACATGCTCTCTAGACTCCAATTTTAATATACAGTGTATGGAGACTATACAAGGAAGTCCGTGCAGATTCTTAACAAAGCAATTTTGCCAAGAGAAAAGGACTTACAATGTTATAAAAATGGCTCCTACTGCAGCCTAACAGAAGAACATACTATCATCAGGTAACTGTCTTCAATAAATTGCTTTCCTTTACTACTGAATAAAATCACCTTCATCCTTGAGCCACCAGTCCCTGATGGACAAACTTTGTCTCCACGTGTATCTTGGTGATATGCTTCAATAGTCATATAAATGACTATTTATGGGGGAGAATGTCTTGTTAGACATTTTTTTTAACTCTTACTAGCATACATGAACAATTTTTGCTTGTGTCCAATCTCTTGAATAATCATAATATCATAAAAAAATCAATCTCTTGAATAATCATAATATCATAAAAATCATGAACACTTTTTGCTTGTGTCCAATCTCTTGAATAATCATAATACCATAAAAATCAGTGACCTTATGAAAGGCCTATGGTAAGGTGTAAGCCTGAAGAGATACTTGTGCAGAAAGCTTGCGAAGCCTAAATGTTAGTTTTTCTACACATCATTCAGTGACATGAAAATACCTGTGACAAGCTGCAATGATGCCCTCCATCAAGTAAGCAAGCAAGCACAATCAATTTTGAGTTATGGGTTAAGACTGCTGTTCAAAGACAGACAGACACTGACACATTACTATATTCTTTTCATAAGATTCCCTTGCCAGGATATTCTACAGCTAGAAAAACAAAATCCACAATTGCTCTCCTCAGAGGACAACTAGAGAAAGTAGGTAGAAACAAGCAATATAATAAGACGAAGTTAACTGCCCTTTGCAGATCTCGAACTCTAAAGCAACTTATCCTAGAGGTTTATCCTGGATCCTTTCCCTGAGTACTGCTACTAATATTGCAGCATTTTAATGAACTCCAGTAGAGCCGTTACTAAATGTCATGGTTTGATGCTGGTAGGCAGCTAAGCCCCACACAGACACTTCCTCATTCTCCCCCATCCCACTGGAGGAGACAACTTGTGGGTTGAGATAAAGACAGTTTAATAGGTCAAGGAAAAGCCATGCACACACGCAACACAAAACCAATTTATTTACCACTTCCCATCATCAGGCAGGTGTTCAGCCATCTCCAGGAAAGCAGGGCTCCATCACATGTAAGGGTTACTTGGGAAGACAAATGGCATCATTCTGAATGAGCCACCCTTCCTCCTTCATCTCCCCTTATTATATGCTGAGCATGATGCCATATGGCATTGGATATCCCTTGGGTCAGCTGGGGTCAGCTGTCCTGGCTGTGTCCCCTCCCAATTCCTTGAGCAGCCCCAGCCTACTTGCTGGTGGGGTAGGGTGAGGTGCAGAAAAGGTGGTGACTGTGCAAGCTCTGCTCAGCAATAAACAAGACATGGTGTATTATTAACACTGTTTTCATGACAAATTCAGAAAACATAGCACCATCGTAACTGTTATGAAGAAAATTAACTCTAGCACAGCCAAAAGCAGTACATAAATTAACATTCAAGCACTTCTATTGAGGAAGCTGTTCTTCCAAGCAAACGATTGAGATACTGATGAATCTATACATGGAAACACATTTTCTCCAAATCTGCTGAGAGAGCCAGCCATCTCATAGCTACAGTGGAGTTTATGCTCCCCATCTGGAAATATGATTTCTCTAGTTATCTGTTCAGCTATCCCCACCAAAAAATAAAAATAAAAATCACTTTTTCTTTCCTTTTTAAAATATAGGGATTATACTCACATTATACACACATTAGCATCGCTTCAAAAAGCAATACAAAACCAGTTTGAAACATTCATTCCTTCTCATTCACATGGGGCTCTCCCATCTCTAATACTTATTGCTTCAGAAAGCAAGCTGAAATAAAGCCTGCCTTTGGAGGCTGTGAATACTGAGGAAATTACTCTTTCACAAAACCTCTCTTGCTTAGAAAGAAGTATTTAGATCAGCTGCAGTGATCTTCAGCAAAGATGTGGTTTAGCTGCCAGTCCAAAGCAGCATCCAGTCATACAGGCTGGAGCTCTCAGCAGACACAGGAAGAAGCAGCTGGCTGCAGTGGGAAAGTTCTTTACTGATGCAAAGCTTTCACACCTGTGTCAGTGCATATCAGCACTGCAAGGTTGGCTCCTAAGACAACTAGCAATTCCCAACCACCACAGCAGAATGGAAATGATCAGCAGTGACAGGTAGGCATCACAAGGTCCCTGTTTAGAACCTGATGTATTTCAAGCTTCTGAAGACAGCAGGAAGCCATGCATCCCAGTACACCTTCCTTGGGAGAATGAAGGAAGTGTTGCCACTAGAAAGCAGGTGACAAAACCTGACTGATTCAGTCTGAAGTATTTGGAACCCCAAGTATATATATTCTAGCCTGAAGAAGAAGAAAAAAAGTGTCTTCTTGCAGCCCAAAACTTTTTGAACAAGTTTGTCCTGCGTATCAATGAACAAGAAAATTAGGCTCTGAGGAATATCTCTCCTGCCATACTCAGCAACTTCACATGCTCCAAAGAAGCACTCTGCAGTTAAGAGACTTGGAGCTGAGCTACCAAAACATTTTTCAGATGACAGAGGATGCTCTTTCCTCAGGGTCTTATTGCTGCAATTACTTAAAAAAAAAAAAAAAATTCTGTGATGTCCCTGAGCATTGGCTTAACCACAGGAGGTTGGTCTTGTCTGATGCTACAGAGCAGTTGTTCTGCCCTAATGAAAATGATGCTTAACCTGATGTCTTTGGCACTATGTGGGATTAGAAATTAATCCATCTGGTAAAAACTGCTCAAAGCCTTAAAAATAACTACCTCTTGACAGGAGATTAGCAGCGTAGCAAATTCAAGGAAAAAAGATCCACCATCAGAGACATATCTAAGCTATAGGATTTCCAAAGTGGAACAAGACTTGCTCTCACCATACCTGGGGCACAGCCAAGTACATATGGTTATTTGCTGCTGTTATTTTCCAGTCAACATAACCAATGGAGGATCTGTGCAGATTCATGTGGGCTTTCAAGAGACCAATCTGGGAACACTTTTCCAAGCAGACTGATGTTTCAAAACAATCATACACAATTGAGACATGTTTTTAAAAAGACCTCAAGAAAAGATGAGGGAGACCGCAAAAGAATGAGGGATACACTATCTGGAGTCAGAAGCAATGAAAATTGCCACATGTAGATACAGCATTAATGCAACAAGGTACGAGGCAGCAAATTTAATATATTCTACTGGATATGTTTTTGAGGACATTCTTGAAAATTGTATTCACATATTACAAGACCTGGTGTTCCAGTCCGGAAGAAAAAGAATACTTTGAGGTGAATTATCTCTGGAACATTGCCTTGAACCAAACAGGAAAGAAATGTGAACAGCAGTAAGAAGCAAATTACACGGGAAAAAAAGGAAGCCTTGTTGCACAGACTACTGCAGATACATATCTCAGAACAAAGTAGCCTCTGGAACTAACAGATGGAAACCTGGAGTGAGAGAGGAAAGCAGATAAACTAAGCTGTTTAGGGGCCAGGGATGGCAGTGATGTGGATACAGCTGAAAGCAACACAGAATGTTTATTAGCATTAGTTCTGCGTTGCTTTCAACTCTTCTTACTTCCCTATAAAATCTGAGACAGCAGATGGTAATCCAGTAAGTTTTATAGGGAAAGAATTAATGATAGGAAGACTCCAGTTCACCCAAACTACTGTAAGTCTTTAAAAACTACCACAGCAGCTTATCGTGTCTCTATTTCTCTGAGGTTTAATTGATAGCTCATTACTTTCAGCCTACTGAAGACTAAAAGTGTTTTCCAAGTTCTTCTGCAATGTGAAGAAAAGTTTCCTCATAGCTATATGTTACTGAAGGAAGACATAGCTCTGAACACCCGGTAACGTGACAACTGGAGGAAGCTCTACGCCTCTATGTTAGATGAGATGGCCCATGGACCACCATGTTTTGGAGTTCTGCGTTATGATAGCAGACTTAGTTGCTATTTTAGTTCCAAATAGAGTGGATTCTTCATTGCTGATGACTCCAGAGTCCAACCACAAGTACAAATAAAACTGTAAAGAACTTTTTGCCACATTCAGTGTGCTTTTTCACGTCCAGG